TTATCTGACTCTTCGCATGAGACTGCCTGAGTACACTGTCTTGTTATTCTTTTGTGCTTGGCGTCTTCCCCCTTCGTTGAACTACCCCCGCCCAGAGAGATCCTTTGCTTGTCATGCCTTTTGCCTTCTCTCTGGCGCTCCCGCTCCTGGCCGGTGTGAATACACCGACATGGAGCCTACCTCGGTTTCGAAGGCACCCAGCTCCCCGTTCAGCACGTTGAAGCAGAGCGCCGCCTCGGTGAACTTGCCATCGGCGGAAAAGTCACCACTCGATAGCTTCTGCCCGTAGATCGCCGCTGCCTGCCGGACACAGGTTTGGAAGGCGCACCGCTCCTCACGGTAGGACGCGAGGCGCTTGGCGGTGGCCATGTACCGCTCCCCTGCGCCTTGAAGATCAGCGGCGTGCCTGGCGATGACTCCAACGTCGTTGGGCATGAGCGCGGCTGCGCCCTCCTCAGCGCACTGCACAAACTGTTGCAACTGCAGCTGTAGTGCCTCCACGCCGCCGGTCGAGAATCCCGTGACGTCCTCGGCGGGGACGTGAGATTGTATGCCCGTTCGGGCGTCAAAAAGTGGTGGTGCTCAAACCATGAGGCGAGTCCACTGCGGATGGCTTGATCGCTGCCACGGTCAAGTCAAACCCTTTCGGGTCCAGTAAGGCTTCCGCCGGAGGAGAGCTCGCCGGCAGCCTGGCAGAAGGCATTCCAGCTGGCGTAGCCCCCTCCCCAGCGGAGCCAGGCGACGATGACTTGTCCAGTGCATCGGTGTCGTCCTTGGGCTCGGTGTTGCTACCAAGCTTGCCCAACGTGGTGTGGTGGGGATCAGAGTGGTCTGACCGTGTGGAATGGTCCTGGTCTCGGCCCTCTGTAGCATCGTGAGGCGTCCCTCTTCTCTCGCTCGAGAGATGGTCATCTGAACCCGAATCCTCGCACCTCGGTGTCCAGCAAGTGGAGTTCTAGTCGTACGCGGTCCTTCCGCGGTTTGGTCGCGGGAGATAGGTTGCCCGCAGTGCCGCGGGCCTCCTCATCCGAGGAAGACATATTTATAGATAGTACTCAAAGTACGAAGGCGTAGTTATACACCGGTGGGGGAGTGGCGCAATTATGCACCGAGTTGTGACACCACAACAGCAAAGAGGTCGACTGTCTCGCAGCGCGGCGGCCCAGCGAAAGCAGTCAGAGACTATGACGTGCCAAACTTGCACAACGGGAGTTGGGGAGCCGTGACGTGCCACTATTTGGGCATGGGAATCCGGGGACATGAGAATACGGCGGAGTATTTATCACTCTGGAGTGGGAGAGAGAGAGAGAGAGAGAGAGAGAGAGAGAGAGAGAGAGAGAGAGAGAGAGAGCGGGAGAGAGAGAGGGAGAGAAGGAAGAATAATAGGTGAAGCTTCTCGATACAGGTCAGGCTACTGGTCCTCGTGAGAGTCCTCGTGCCTCACCTCCTGCGACAGTGCATCACACAGGTCTCAGGTGGACTGTGTGACTCCTCGGGGTTTCTGGGGACTTGAGGTGTGCTAGTCGCTGTAGTCGGACGGTTCCGGCACGTCTGATTTCGGGCTCGCTAGTAGTTTCCGCCGTGATCTCGACCCAGCGCGAGAATTCTTCTTCGCAAAGCCAAACACTAATGGCAGCGCCGACGCCCGCCGCCAAGGCCGGCTTCGGCTCGCACCTGCTCTCGGGCTACCTGCACAAGAAGTCCAAGGCCGGGCAGGGCGTGTGGCAGAAGCGCTTCTTCATCCTCGACACGCGCAGCCTCACCTACACGCACGGCGGCAAGGTACGCTCTTACCAGCTCGAGGACTTTCGCGACGCGCTCACGACGGGCAGGCCCGAGGCGGGCGAGTTTGTCGTCGTCTTCTCCTCCTCCGACCGGCTGTCGGACGTCTTCCCGGAGAAGCGGCTGCACCTCCGCGTCCAGAGCGGCGGCGCCGATGGCGCGCGCGAGTGGGCCAACGCAATGGCGGCGGCGCGGCGGCAGTGGGAGATGTATCGGACGCTCGGCAGGGCGATGGGGGCTGAGGTGGGCGGCGCATCGGTGCAGGCGGACGGCGCCGACGGCGAGCCCGGCCTGGGTCCCGGCCTGGGTCCCGGCCCTGGAGCCGAGTCCTCGCCGCCGTCGGCGGACGAGGAGGAGGAGCCAGAGCCGGAGCCCGCGCCTCCGCCCGCGCCTCCGCCCGCGCCTCCGCCCGCGCCTCCGCCCGCGCCGCCGCCGCCGCCTCCCGCACCTCCGTCGGCCGGGCCGGCGGCGGACCCGCTCGCGCCCATGAGCTTCGAGGAGATGGTCCGGCGGCAGCTGCGCAAAAAGGCAAACGCGGTCCTCGTCCGGAAGAAGGCAGAGGTGAGGCGCCTCTCGCAGCGGCCCTCGCAGCGGCCCTCGCAGCGACCCTCGCAGCGACCCTCGCAGCGCTCCGTCGCCACCCGCCTCGCCCGCCTCCGCCCCCGCCCCCGCCAGGTCCTCGCCCTCGTCCGGAGACTCAACGCCGAGCGGTCCGCCGCCGCCGCCGCCGCCGCCGAGGAGTCGTTGTCTCGCGGCTCAGGTTGGTGCGCATGGCTGGATAGGTTCGACCTGTGGGACGCGTCGACGCTGCTCCCGCGCGTCTCGCTCGGGGTCGGCGCGCGCGGCGGCGGCGGCGGCGGCGGCATCTGGCTCACGATGGAGGTTGTGCCGGTCAACGTGGCCGCCGAGGCGCAGCGGCTGGTAGCAGCAGTAGCAGTAGCAGTGGTAGTGTGGCCTAATCTCGGGTACTCTCGGGCACTCTCGGGTACTCTCGGGTGATGTCCCGCAGGTGATCGACTGGTACCGCGCGCTCGTGTCGCAGCTGGAGGGGCTTTGCCTCCCTCTCGAGTGCGAAAAGGCGGAGACGCGGGGCGAGCGGCTGGTTGGACCATCGGGCTCCTCCTTGAGACGATGACTGCTGCTACACAGGCGGAGACGTGGGGCGAGCGGCTCGCCATCCCGCGCAAAGGCGGAGGGCTGCACTTTGGCGAGCCAGAGAGGCGCGAGGCTGCGGCAGCCTACGCGCGGCTCGGCGTGCTCTACGAGTTCGTCTCCCTCTCGTCGCAGCTCGCCGAGCGCGCCGAGGCGTGCCGCCGCCTCGCGGCCGTCCTCGCGGCGCAGCAGGAAGCCCGTCGCCCCGCCGCCCGCCGCCCCGCCGACCGCCCCGTCTCCTCGGCAGGCCGGCCGCCGATCCCCTCGCCCGCCGAGGGCCCGAGCACCCACACGAGCGTGCGCCCGGGGTGCCGGACGCGGGACAAGCCCATGGGACGCGCGTGCACGGCACCGCCCTCGAGCTCGCCGACGAGCTCGCGCGCCACCCGGCCGTCCCGCTCGCCGACGCGCGCCTCAACGGCGACGCGGCCGAGGCACAGCTGCACGTTCTGCGCGAGAGGCATGCGCAGCTCGCGCTCTCGACGGGCGCGGCAAACAGGGCGCTCCTCCGGCAGGTGGACGAGGCGGTGTGAGTCGCGACGAGGCGGCGTGCCACCCGGCAGCCGTGCCCGGCGATGCTCCGTTACGAGTGTCCCGATACATGCCGGGTGACGGTGTCTCGCGCTCAGTCTTCTCCCGTGTTGTGTCCCCATGTGCACCCCTCTGGGTCTGGCTCTGCCGTGTGTTGAGTTGTGCCTTTTGCGTTGACATATACGTCACTACGTAGTTAGAGCTTGTGTTCGAGTAGCCTAGGAAAGCAGGCGCAGTACCGCAGACGGATAAAAAACTGTGTGGATCCTGGACCTGGTGCACCCCCCTCTTTTACTCCCCGCACTCCCCGAGAAGAATAAATAAACAAAAACGACACCCCTCTTCCTCTCTACTGTGAGATGGGTAACAAGGAACAGGTCCCCGCCCGTGCGATCCTTTGTGCAGGGTTCTTTGTGTGGGATGGGGGAGACTAGCACACTAGCCGTCTTCCACATTGTCCCTCGGGTCCCTGCTGCTCCTATAATCTTTTCGTACATCCTCCTGCTGATCTCCGCAACGTCGGTCCTGCTCCCTCCCTCGTCTCCCCGAGAGCGCACCGCAGAGCCCGCCAATCCGGGCTGTCCCGCGAGCCGAGGTCCGCGCGAGAGATGATTCTTCGTGTTTGCGTCTCGTCCCGGACTCCGTGTACACACGCGTTTGTTGTGTGCATCCCGGGGGGCCGGACTGGCCAGGAGTCGCCTAAGCCATGTACGTACTCGTGCGACAACTCTCTTCACGAGCCCACTGTGTGGGCGAGACAGAGAGGCAGAGAGAGGCGGACGGAGCGCCCCCAAACGCTCGACCCAAACGCTCACATCAGACTCGCCCCCCGCATGGACGCCCCCCTAGATCGACCGCAACGCGCCTCAGATACTAACCGCACACTCCATATACCGCGGGTTGGCGGTGAACACGCCCATGTTGTCGGGGAAGGCGAGCCCCTACACGTGCAGCGGAGGCAGTCAGAGGCGATTGAACGACCCCCGTCGATCGGGCCTCGGGGAGCAGAGCGCCGGCGCGGCGGCGGCGGCGGCATCGAGGACGTTTGCCAACTCGGCGAGCTCATCCTGAAAGGTGCGGTTGATGTTCTTCAGCGTCTCCGCGTCCGCTACCGTTCGCCGTGGAAACAAAAACGACCAGTCGTGCTGCTCAAACGAGGAGCCTACTCACAGCGATGCGTGAAGCCCAAGGAGCGGACCAGCCTTTTGCGGCGCACAAGCGGCGCCCTCGGACGGCATCAGCGTCGGTGTGATGGAGGAGGTGAGGCACATTAGCGTCGCCATCTGCATCGCCGCCTCCTTGGTTCCAGCCACGTCGCCCTTCTTCCACGAATAGGCGACGAACGACGCGTCCTGCGCGTACACCTGCACCGCGCCCACCTGTGAAGAATCAACGAGCGGGTGCCAACGAGGCCCCGCACCGGAAGCCGCCCGCCACTACCCGCACCTGCTCGTGCCCCAGCGTCACCAGCTCAATGTACCGCGTCAGAAAGGCGATGAGGAGCGAGCGCATCCGGTCTGGAGAGCCCCGCGACAGCGCAAACGCCGTGTTGAGCTCGAGCGCGTACCTCGCCTGTCCAAGGACGGAGGGTCGACGCGGGCAGAGGCGTCTACATCCATCTCGCTCGACGCCTCTGCAGAAGCGGTCCCTTTCGACTCGAAGATGTCGGTCGAACCGACGGTGGTGGCGATGATTTGCCGCAGGAACGTGACCACCTCGTCGCCGTCGCCCACTCCCTCGGGGTAGCAGTGGCTGCAGTACGCCTCCACCCACCGCTTCAAGATGGAGTGGTATCTTTGACACGCCGTGAAGAAGGGGGAGTCGACGCCGTTTGGCGGGTAGATGGAGCTGTGGTGGCTGAGGAAGCGGTCAAGCCACAACTCGTGGTCGGCGGGCGTTTCCAATTCGTCCACGGGCTTGAGGGCCCCAAACCACAGGCTGGAAGACCTCATGTAGGCGAGCTTCGGCGCGAGAGCCCACGCCCTCGCAAAGGCGCAGTCTGTAAAGGAGAAGGCGCGGTGGGTAGCGGCGCCGTAGGCGCACAGTGCGGTGCGCGCCCAGTCGTTGATCGTGATGGCACCAAACGTGAACGGGACTAGGAAGCGGCGGATCGGGTGGTCGGTCGACAGCTGCTCGCGCGTCGCCAGCGTCACCAACTCCGAGGTTTGCATGTGCAGCTGGAAGAGGTGGTCGACAAAGGTGATCAGCGTGAAGAGTGAGGAGCGGAAGCAGAACTTGGCGTATTCCCACCGATACCCCTCCCCTGGCCGGTATATCACATCCTCGAGCTCCTCCCACCACTCTTCCCCTGCCGGCGGCTCTAACCTCACGATGCAAATCGGCCGCCAGTCAGCGCCAAAGTAAACATTACCACCGTAGCGGTCGCAGCCCTCCTTGACCTCCAGCATCGCCAGCCCGTTGGTCCGCACGGCAAACTTGGCGCGGTTTCCCGATGCATCTGTGTACTTGTCTTGCTCCGCCGCCGTCGCCAGCTCTGTGCGGTGGGCGGCGACGCCGCAGCGACAAAAGTGGGCCAGCGCCTCATCGCTCGTCTTGTCGGGCCAAGACTGGTTGATCCGGGGATAGACAGAGCCAACCTCTTCCATCACATAGCGGACCGGGTCCTCGCCCGGCGCGAAGGATGTTTGCTGCGGCCTGCGCGGCCAGCCGAATGGGACGTGGTAAGCTACGAGCCGGATCAAATCGAGCGCGCGCGTCACCGGGATGAGGTAGGTCGAGATACGCGGCCCCAGCCAGTTGCCAAGGATGACAGCCGCGCCCATCTCCTCCTCAACGTAGTCGGCCACCGGCTAGAGGCGAGCACGCGGGCGGTCACGAGGGAGGGAGGGTGCTCATGCCGGGTGACGTCGGGGCAGTCACCAGGCCCCACCCAAGCGGCAGCGGCGACTTGCTCAGCGGCCTCTTTGGCTTCAGCGATTTGAGATCGTACGCAGCGTGGCCTATCGGCAGGTGGAGTGTGGGAGAGCGATCCGCGCCGTGCAGGCGGCAGAGGGAGGTCGTCGCCTTCGACGCGTGAGCCACCAAACTGAATGTACTGCGTCGTGAGGCGCAGCTTTTGCACCCAGAGCACAAAGCCAAAGTAGGGGTCTCCCCACTGCTTCGGCATCGTGCAGTAGGTGATAACGAGAAAAGTGATCAAAGGCAGCAGCAGCAGCAGGGGAGCGACAATGACCATGGGCAGCCACCAGATCAGAAGGGTGAGCAGCAGCGCCAGAGGCGTCTAGAGAACGAGACCGCACGCTGAGGAGCGCTTTCGCAGTGGCGCGGGCCGGTGATGGGGCCGAGACGCACCCTGATCCAGCCCAGGAAGCAGCACGCACCGAGGGCACCGCGGAAGGATCGGTGCCCTTGTACGATGGGCCAAGAGACGGAGCCGCTTGCCGGGACCGCGTTGACGGGTCTGGGAGGGGTGGGCGGTGGGCTAGGTGGCGGACTGGGCGGCGATGACGAGCAGCTGGCGGCATTTATTGCCTCCATCGTCTGTGTGATTCCGGGCTGTGTTGGCATTTTGCGGCGCGGGGGGTACGCGCGAAAGCAGAGTCGGTAATACGGGGATTTATGGACGATTGAATTACTCGAGAAAAGAAATAATGGCTGGATAGGTTAGGTTAGTGAAGAACAGCCAGGCTCGGACTGGACATCAGAGACTATGGAAAGTTCACGTCATGACGGTTAGCCGCTGTCACGACGGTTAGCCGCTGTCATGACAGCTGCCAGCTGTCATACAGCAAACGACAGCGACAGTGACACCTACCTGTCACCAGCTGTCACCAGCTGTCACCAGCTGTCACCAGCTGTCACCAGCTGTCGTTGCTGCTGTCGTTGCTGCTGTCGTTGCTGCTGTCGTTGCTGTTGCCGTAACCATCCCCGACTGGTCCAACTGTCACTGCTGCTGTAATTGCGCAGCTGTCATTCCTTCTGTCATTGCTGCTGTCATCGCTGTCGTTGCTGCTGCTGTGCTGTCATTGCTGCTGTCATTGCTGCTGTCATTGCTGCTGTCATTGCTGCTGTCATTGCTGCTGTCATTGCTGCTGTCATTGCTGCTGTCATGAGCACCCCCGCAGGACAGTGTGTGGTGCCACTAACGAGAGAGACAAGACACTCAAGATATAGATGCATGCGCGCGAGACCGCTCACTCGCACGCCCGACGCCACATGAGAAACCCTCTCAACAGTAGCCACGCACGGTCAGCAGCAGCGGGCGTGAGTCGGAGAATCTGCAAAACCCTTGCCCTCCTTCCTCCAGCATGTGCCGTGATGGGCTCCAGCGCTGGTTCATCTGCCGCTCGAAAATCTCACGCGAGCGAACGGTGTCAATCCTCAGCCGCGAGGATTGGGACCTTGAAATCACGATCACAAGCAAACGCGCAGAGCATTGAGCAACACACCTCGGGTTGAACCTCTCAAGGTGCATGCTGTCACCGGCAGTCTGCATGTGGATCGTAGACGATGACTATGGCTGGAATAAGCTCAAGTTCGTTCTCACGAGGGCTATGGCTGCCTCACGGCTGTGCCTGTGGCGCTGCCTCGCTGTCGCTGTCGCTGTCGCTGTCGCTGTCGCTGTCGCTGTCGCTGTCGCTGTCGCTGTCGCTGTCACTCGCGGGGTCCCGCGCTGACATTGTCACCGCCTGTCGTTGGCATTCGCTGGCTTCACTGTCACTGTCACTATGGCTGTCACTGTTCCTGGTGCCTTTCACTCCTCCTTGGCAGCTGGCTGTCACCAGCTGTCACCAGCTGTCACCAGCTGTCACCAGCTGTCACCAGCTGTCGTTGCTGCCGTCGTTGCTGCTGTCGTTTCGCAGCCGCTGTCATGACATATTGACCACGTCATGACGGTTAACAGCCGTTTTAACCGTCATGACGTGAACTTTCCATAGTCTCTCAACGCGGTATGGGTGGACGCTGGACAGATGATGACGGCACGCACGAGCGACACACAAAACAGGCTCACAAGACACACAGCCAGCTGGCTGCCACACACCCTGAGTTGGCGTACACATAACTCAAGGCCACATCCTCCCGTCGCTCAGATGGCGCGAAAAAGAAAAACATTTCGCGGCGGAACCCCTTCGGACCGATCGCTTACAGCTGATCGCTTACCGACGGCGGAATCCCTTGCGGACCACGCTGGACGGGCCAATGCCGGCTCGACTGAGCGCCCGCGACGTGCAGCCCGGTGAAGCGGCCTCTTCTTCGGCCCAGTCACCGTCGGCCCCTGCAGCGGCTGCGGTGAACATTGCGGCAGGTACAATCGGCTCGATGTGCGGCGAGGCGGCTGTCTTCCCAATCGACGTGGTCAAGACTCGGCTGATGACCGCCACGGTGAGCGAGGCGCCGATGGCCGCGCTGGCTCTGCTGATCCGCGAGCGCGGGCCGCTCGGCATCTACTCGGGCCTGCCCTCCCCGCTGTGCGGAGCGTTCCTCATCAAGTCATCGCTCTTTGCTGGCTACGAGCTCTCAAAGGTGTGCGTACACGCCTCGCGCACGGTGCGGCACGGCCGGGACGCAGACATGGCGCGGCCGCTGGACAAGGCGGAGGGCCTCTTCTCCGCCGCCTTTGCCGGAATCTTTGCCGCGATGGCGACGTGCCCCGTCGACCGCGTCAAGATTGTGATGCAGACCCGGCCCAACGCCCACGCCTCGACGCTCCACTGCGCGCTCGCGCTCGCCCGCGAGCGATCGCTCTCGCTCGGCCTCGGCGCGACGCTCGCCCGCGAGGTGCCCTCGTCGGCGATCTACTTTTCGGTGTACGAGAGCACGCGCGAGGCGCTGCTGCCGCTCTGCCCTGCCGCCGCCGCCGCCCCTCTCGCCGGCGCCACCTGCGGAGTCATCAGCTGGCTCGCGTGCTGCCCGATCGACGTCGCAAAGACGCGAGTGCAGTCGGGCGCCGCGCCGAGCCTCCTCGCCGCCCTTCGCGCCGTGGCGGAGGAGCGCGCCTTCTTCCGCGGCGTGCAGCCCGTGGTGATGCGGGCGGTGCTAAAACACGCGACGGTGTTTGCCGTGTACGAGCAGCTGCGGCCGCGGCTACTGGCTCTAGGAACGTAGCCTTTTGAGAGTGGTCGCATTTTTCTTGTCCAGCTCTGGCCCGGGCGAGGTACTTCCAGCCTGCTGTGAAAACAGCTGACGCTAGTCTCTCGATACTCGAAAAACAAAACCACAATGCACAAAACAGCGAGCGCTCAGCCAGGGTTACACTAAAACCCCGAGAGGCGTGGGAGACCCGAGTGCTTCTCGATGGTTGTACGGCGGGCGCGAGGCCCGACCTCCCCTCCTAGCCTTTTTCGGCTGCGGCCCCGCCGTTTTGCGTTTTTATTTATCTATCTGGCCAGCTTGCAGTCTAGGCGCCGCCGCCGCACTCCACGCAGTCCGAGCGCCGCTTCCGATGCTTGCAGTAGCGAGTAGGCGCCGCCGCCGCACTCCAAGCACAGCGAGCGCGGCTTCCGATGCTTGCAGAGGGAGCCGCCGCCGCACTCCACGCAGTCCGAGCGCGGCTTCCGATGCTTGCAGAGGAAGCCGCCGCCGCACTCCACGCACAGCGTGCGCCGCTTCTGATGCTTGCACCTTGCATGAGCGCCCATTTTGCTTGGGAGCTACAGTAGAGGCGCCGTATTTGCCAATGTTCATATGAAAACGCACAACCCCGGGCCCTGAAATCGCACAGCCAATGTTCATACAAAAACCCTGTTCACCCTGTTCATACACCCCGATGCGAGTTAATGCGCATTTCTTCTCTGCACTATAGCCCTTGAGAAAAAGCTCGCATTATGCAAACCTGTGCCTGTGTCCTGGAAGTAGACGGAGAGGGGTACTCCCAAAGGCAAGAGGAGGTCTGGAGAGGCCCACAGCGGTCAGGAGAGGCCCCAAGAGGGTGCTGGATGAGAGTCAGCAGAGCGAGAAGGGTCACTTTCTCGGCAGAGAGGGCAGACACCTGGAGGGACCGGGGGTGGGGAGGGGAGGTGAGGCGGGGATGCAGGGGAGGGGGAGGGGAGGGTAGGGAGGAGCAGGAGGAGAGAAGAGCTGTGGTTCGCGGCTCGCACCACGCACAGTCGCTCGTTCGCACACAGTCGCTCGTTCGCTCGTTTCCAGGGATGCTGTCGCTGCTAAGCTTCCAGGAGCACTTTGATGCCCACTGGGGCCAGCGGTACTTTGAGCAGCACCAGCACGTCCCGGTGCTCGCCATCTGCCTCTACCTCGCCGGAGTCTACTTTGGCCCTCGGTGGATGGCCTCGCGCCGCCCGGTCCGGCTCGTCGCCATCTCGAGGGTGTGGAACGCGTCACTCGCGCTCTTCTCGATCTGCGGCGTCGCCGCGTGCGTGCCCACGCTCGTGGGCCACCTCTGGCACCGCGGCTTCCACCACAGCGTGTGCGCAGACTGCTACGAGCTCGCAGGGACCGGGGCGCCTGCTCTGTGGGCGGTGCTATTTTGCTTCTCCAAGCTCGCCGAGCTCCTGGACACCGCGCTGTTGGTTCTCAAGAAGCGGCCGCTGCTGCTGCTCCACTGGTTCCACCACGCCAGCGTCATCGCGTTCGCCTGGGCCTCGTGGGTGTACGCGACGCCGCTCGCGCTCTGGTACGGGTCGATGAACTTCTCGGTGCACGCGGTCATGTACTCGTACTTCTTCGCAACCTCCTTCGACCGCCGCGTGCTGCGCGCCGCCCCCGCCATCACCACGCTGCAGCTGTCGCAGTTTGCGATGGGCACCGTCGTCAATTTTTATGCGTATTGGGCGTACGCGCGTGGGTCGGGCTGCGCCGTCGATGTCGACATCCTCTACCTCGGTGCCGTCATGTACCTCGCGTACGGTTTCCTCTTCGCGCGCATGTTCGTCGAGCGGTACGTCCGCGCCCCGCGGCGGAGACGGCGCGTGAGCGACGCTGGCGAGCGCGAGGCGCTAACGGGGACCAAGCTTGTGTGAGCCGCGCGCCTCTCGTTATGCATGAGATTGCACACACACACACACACACACACACACACACACACACACACACACACACACACACACACACACACACACACACACACACACACACACACACACACACAAACACACACACATGCACATGCACATGCACATGTGCAGTTGTTAATTGCATATACTACATGGACGTACGGGGTCCACATTACGTGTGTAACGGAAGAGAGTACTGACGTACGGCTAGATAGTAGATTAGTTCGCACAGAGGGCACGCGAGGTACGACCGTGCCCGGCCGTGCTATTAAAGCGACTCGGCTCTCTAACAGGCTGCAGCCCAGAGCCACACGGAGTCTACGCGCATCGCTTGTGCATAGCCTCGACCAATCTCCTGTTCACGGTGGAACCGTGAACAAAGAACTTCTTCGAACCGTTACAAACACGACGCGAGCCGCCCAGCAGGGAGCCTGGGCGACTCGCTTTGACGCTGGCCAGGCCGGAGGCGAGTGCCGCCGCCGGGCCACGACCGACCGCGCCCGTCCTACGGACGGGCGCAATGGGCCAAACGGATCCGCGCCGCAGTGCGTGCAGCGCTGCGCCGCCAGTCCAATACATGCAAACCGCAGGCTTTGCAGCGAGGACCAGCCTGCTCAGCTTCGAACGAGGAGCCAGCAGCCAACAGGCGGACAGCAGTCGTCCACGCCAGCTGGAATGCGAGGACCGCCCCAGCCGCAGGTGGCCCCATACGTAATGCTTTGCGCAAAGCACCGTGCAAAAATGGCGTCTTTACATGGCCATGCAGCAAGCAGTGCTGCCAGATGAGCACACGGCCATGGGCGAAGTGCACCCGCAGGGCCAGCTGGCATTGCGTGGTGCACTCGCAAATCAACCCGCCCTCTCGTGCCAAGGACGGCGCGAGGGGAGCGCGAGCGTCCACCAGCAGCCGTCTGGCTGCTGGTGTGAGCCATACTCAACACGCCGCGCGGAGCGGAGTGCGGAGCCATGAATGAGCAGTAGAGCCTGCGCCTCGAGGCACGGCCTGCGGCCCCTACCCTGCGTTCGGCCCGCCACTGGCGGCGTCGAGGACAGTTCGAGACGGTGTGCGGTGTCAGCCTGTGAGGCGGACTGCACTCGAACTGCACTAGTGGAAGCACCAACACGGCCCCCGGGCTGTTTGGGGACCCGGACGCCAGCGGCCCCCCGGGAGAGGGGTGTCCTGGTTGTGTCTTGTCTGAGTGCCAGCGCACGCAGCTATCTTAACGGCGTGAGGTCAGCAAGAACCCTCGCGGCGTCGTGCAGTCTGTGAGGGTGTGTGCCTGCACGGATTGCACAAGTAACAAATCACTCCTGGCGGCGGCATTCCTCCGGAATGGGGCGACAGAACACGTGTTATCCCTTAGTCGGGATGACCACAAATCGTCAGGGCACTCAAGAAGAGGCCAGCCGGCACTTCGAGCTGCGCTCGACATGGGGATGCGCACAGTCAATATATGTCAACGCGCGCCGCGCGAGCGAGTCTAACAAGACTCGGTCGCGAACTTTCCGAGAAGGAAGACAAGTGGGGCGGCGGCGTCGATAGATATCGACGCCGCCGTCGCCGCGCATCATGACGAGTTCGCATTCCCCATGTGACCCTCTATACCTCACCTTCGAGACAAGCCAGGGTTCAACCCAATGGACCTAGTGTGGCGTCGAGGCCCGCACTGTCTGGACATGCGGGCCGCGGCTGACAGAACGGCGGGCTAGGCATTGAGAGCCCAGGAGTTTTAATTCGCACAGAGGGCACGCGAGGTACGACCGTGCCCGGCCGTGCTATTAAAGCGACTCGGCTCTCTAACAGGCTGCAGCCCAGAGCCACACGGAGTCTACGCGCATCGCTTGTGCATAGCCTCGACCAATCTCCTGTTCACGGTGGAACCGTGAACAAAGAGCTTCTTCGAACCGTTACAAACACGACGCGAGCCGCCCAGCAGGGAGCCTGGGCGACTCGCTTTGACCTCCCCCCCGCCCCACGGTGCGCCAGCGGCGCATTTGGGATGGACACCACACGTCGTCACATCGAGCAGCTCTCTGTCAACGGATTTCTCAGTTCTGATGCGGCATCCGGCTGGAGCAACTGGCTTTGCTTGGTTTGGGAGTCCTTTTGCTATGTGCTCTACGCGGGGAACTACGCCTCTTTTAGCCTGATCCTGCAGGCGATAGCCCAGCCCGCGTGCAGCGGTGGCGGCGACACTGGCAACACGAGCACGCCTCGCTTCGGCGCGCTCGATCCTTCACAACGGGCCACCCGCAAGGACGCGTGTGCGGCCCTCTCTACTCGACCTGTGCCACGGCACGGGTCGTTCTAGTCATGCAGCCGCCCCGGCGATCGTGCTCGGGGCGTATCTCAGCACTCACTGCGCGAGACGCGTGGCGTGCCACAAACCGGTAAACAGCAGCCTCCGCTGCTGCGACTCCATGCTTCGAACGCGCACCTGTGCTTGCGCACGGAGTGCTCTACACGAGCCCCCCGGCCGCACGAGCGTGCGGGCGGCTCGAATCCACCCTTCCCCCGCCCTAGCCACTGTTGGCTGGGCGGCGGGCGCCGCCCGCCTTGCGGCGGCGGCGACACTGGCAACACGAGCACACCTCGTTTCGGTGTGCTCGACCCTTCACAACGGGCCGCCCGCAAGGACGCGTGTGCGGCCCCCTCTACTCGACCTGTGCCACGGCACGGGTCGTTCTAGTCATGCAGCCGCCCCGGCGATCGTGCTCGGGGCGTATCTCAGCACTCACCGCGCGAGACGCGTGGCGTGCCACAAACCAGTAAGCAGCAGCCTTCGCTGCTGCGACTCGAATGCTCCAAACGCGCACCTGTGCTTGCGCACGGCGTGCTCTACACGAGCCTCCCTACCGCACGAGCGTGCGGGCGGCTCGAATCCACCTTTCCCCCGCCCTAGCCACTGTTGGCTGGGCGGCGGGCGCTGTCCGCCTTGCGGCGGCGGCGACACTTGCAACACGAGCACACCTCGCTTCGGTGTGCTCGATCCTTCACAACGGGCCGCCCGCAAGGACGCGTGTGCGGCCCTCTCTACTCGACCTGTGCCACGGCACGGGTCGTTCTAGTCATGCAGCCGCCCCGGCGATCGTGCTCGGGGCGTATCTCAGCACTCACCGCGCGAGACGCGTGGCGTGCCACAAACCAGTAAGCAGCAGCCTCCGCTGCTGCGACTCGAATGCTTCGAACGCGCACCTGTGCTTGCGCACGGCGTGCTCTACACGAGCCCCCCGGCCGCACGAGCGTGCGGGCGGCTCGAATCCACCCTTCCCCAGCCCTAGCCACTGTTGGCTGGGCTGCGGGCGCCGTCCGCCTTGCGGCGGCGGCGACACTGGCAACACGAGCACACCTCGTTTCGGTGTGCTCGATCCTTCACAACACGGGCCGCCCGCAAGGACGCGTGTGCGGCCCTCTCTACTCGACCCGTGCCACGGCACGGGTCGATCTAGTCATGCAGCCGCCCCGGCGATCGTGCTCGGGGCGTATCTCAGCACTCACCGCGCGAGACGCGTGGCGTGCCACAAACCAGTAAGCAGCAGCCTTCGCTGCTGCGACTCGAATGCTTCAAACGCGCACCTGTGCTTGCGCACGGAGTGCTCTACACGAGCCTCCCTACCGCACGAGCGTGCGGGCGGCTCGAATCCACCCTTCCCCCGCCCTAGCCACTGTTGGCTGGGCTGCGGGCGCCGTCCGCCTTGCGGCGGCGGCGACACTTGCAACACGAGCACACCTCGCTTCGGTGTGCTCGACCCTTCACAATCGGCCGCCCGCAAGGACGCGTGTGCGGCCCTCTCTACTCGACCTGTGCCACGGCACGGGTCGTTCTAGTCATGCAGCCGCCCCGGCGATCGTGCTCGGGGCGTATCTCAGCACTCACCGCGCGAGACGCGTGGCGTGCCACAAACCAGTAAGCAGCAGCCTCCGCTGCTGCGACTCGAATGCTTCAAACGCGCACCTGTGCTTGCGCACGGCGTGCTCTACACGAGCCCCCCGGCCGCACGAGCGTGCGGGCGGCTCGAATCCACCCTTCCCCAGCCCTAGCCACTGTTGGCTGGGCTGCGGGCGCCGTCCGCCTTGCGGCGGCGGCGACACTGGCAACACGAGCACACCTCGCTTCGGCGCGCTCGACCCTTCACAACGGGCCGCCCGCAAGGACGCGTGTGCGGCCCTCTCTACTCGACCCGTGCCACGGCACGGGTCGTTCTAGTCATGCAGCCGCCCCGGCGATCGTGCTCGGGGCGTATCTCAGCACTCACCGCGCGAGACGCGTGGCGTGCCACACAAACCAGTAAGCAGCAGCCTCCGCTGCTGCGACTCGAATGCTTCAAACGCGCACCTGTGCTTGCGCACGGAGTGCTCTACACGAGCCTCCCGGCCGCACGAGCGTGCGGGCGGCTCGAATCCACCTTTCCCCCGCCCTAGCCACTGTTGGCTGGGCTGCGGGCGCCGTCCGCCTTGCGGCGGCGGCGACACTTGCAACACGAGCACACCTCGCTTCGGTGTGCTCGATCCTTCACAATCGGCCGCCCGCAAGGACGCGTGTGCGGCCCTCTCTACTCGACCTGTGCCACGGCACGGGTCGTTCTAGTCATGCAGCCGCCCCGGCGATCGTGCTCGGGGCGTATCTCAGCACTCACCGCGCGAGACGCGTGGCGTGCCACAAACCAGTAAGCAGCAGCCTTCGCTGCTGCGACTCGAATGCTTCAAACGCGCACCTGTGCTTGCGCACGGCGTGCTCTACACGAGCCTCCCTACCGCACGAGCGTGCGGGCGGCTCGAATCCACCCTTCCCCAGCCCTAGCCACTGTTGGCTGGGCTGCGGGCGCCGTCCGCCTTGCGGCGGCGGCGACACTTGCAACACGAGCACACCTCGTTTCGGTGTGCTCGATCCTTCACAACGGGCCGCCCGCAAGGACGCGTGTGCGGCCCTCTCTACTCGACCTGTGCCACGGCGCGAGTCGTTCTAGTCATGCAGCCGCCCCGGCGATCGTGCTCGGGGCGTATCTCAGCACTCACCGCGCGAGACGCGTGGCGTGCCACAAACCAGTAAGCAGCAGCCTCCGCTGCTGCGACTCCATGCTTCGAACGCGCACCTGTGCTTGCGCACGGCGTGCTCTACACGAGCCCCCCGGCCGCACGAGCGTGCGGGCGGCTCGAATCCACCCTTCCCCCGCCCTAGCCACTGTTGGCTGGGCGGCGGGCGCCGTCCGCCTTGCGGCGGCGGCGACACTTGCAACACGAGCACACCTCGCTTCGGTGTGCTCGATCCTTCACAATCGGCCGCCCGCAAGGACGCGTGTGCGGCCCTCTCTACTCGACCTGTGCCACGGCACGGGTCGTTCTAGTCATGCAGCCGCCCCGGCGATCGTGCTCGGGGCGTATCTCAGCACTCACCGCGCGAGACGCGTGGCGTGCCACACAAACCAGTAAGCAGCAGCCTTCGCTGCTGCGACTCGAATGCTCCAAACGCGCACCTGTGCTTGCGCACGGCGTGCTCTACACGAGCCTCCCGGCCGCACGAGCGTGCGGGCGGCTCGAATCCACCCTTCCCCCGCCCTAGCCACTGTTGGCTGGGCTGCGGGCGCCGCCCGCCTTGCGGCGGCGGCGACACTGGCAACACGAGCACACCTCGTTTCGGTGTGCTCGACCCTTCACAATGGGCCGCCCGCAAGGACGCGTGTGCGGCCCTCTCTACTCGACCCGTGCCACGGCACGGGTCGTTCTAGTCATGCAGCCGCCCCGGCGATCGTGCTCGGGGCGTATCTCAGCACTCACCGCGCGAGACGCGTGGCGTGCCACAAACCAGTAAGCAGCAGCCTTCGCTGCTGCGACTCGAATGCTTCAAACGCGCACCTGTGCTTGCGCACGGAGTGCTCTACACGAGCCTCCCTACCGCACGAGCGTGCGGGCGGCTCGAATCCACCCTTCCCCCGCCCTAGCCACTGTTGGCTGGGCTGCGGGCGCCGTCCGCCTTGCGGCGGCGGCGACACTTGCAACACGAGCACACCTCGCTTCGGTGTGCTCGACCCTTCACAATCGGCCGCCCGCAAGGACGCGTGTGCGGCCCTCTCTACTCGACCTGTGCCACGGCACGGGTCGTTCTAGTCATGCAGCCGCCCCGGCGATCGTGCTCGGGGCGTATCTCAGCACTCACCGCGCGAGACGCGTGGCGTGCCACAAACCAGTAAGCAGCAACCTCCGCTGCTGCGACTCGAATGCTTCAATCGCGCACCTGTGCTTGCGCACGGCGTGCTCTACACGAGCCTCCCTACCGCACGAGCGTGCGGGCGGCTCGAATCCACCCTTCCCCAGCCCTAGCCACTGTTGGCTGGGCGGCGGGCGCCGTCCGCCTTGCGGCGGCGGCGACACTTGCAACACGAGCACACCTCGTTTCGGTGTGCTCGATCCTTCACAACGGGCCGCCCGCAAGGACGCGTGTGCGGCCCTCTCTACTCGACCTGTGCCACGGCGCGAGTCGTTCTAGTCATGCAGCCGCCCCGGCGATCGTGCTCGGGGCGTATCTCAGCACTCACCGCGCGAGACGCGTGGCGTGCCACACAAACCAGTAAGCAGCAGCCTTCGCTGCTGCGACTCGAATGCTCCAAACGCGCACCTGTGCTTGCGCACGGCGTGCTCTACACGAGCCTCCCGGCCGCACGAGCGTGCGGGCGGCTCGAATCCACCCTTCCCCCGCCCTAGCCACTGTTGGCTGGGCGGCGGGCGCTGTCCGCCTTGCGGCGGCGGCGACACTGGCAACACGAGCACACCTCGCTTCGGTGTGCTCGACCCTTCACAACGGGCCGCCCGCAAGGACGCGTGTGCGGCCCTCTCTACTCGACCTGTGCCACGGCGCGAGTCGTTCTAGTCATGCAGCCGCCCCGGCGATCGTGCTCGGGGCGTATCTCAGCACTCACCGCGCGAGACGCGTGGCGTGCCACAAACCAGTAAGCAGCAGCCTCCGCTGCTGCGACTCGAATGCTTCAAACGCGCACCTGTGCTTGCGCACGGCGTGCCCTACACGAGCCCCCCGACCGCACGAGCGTGCGGGCGGCTCGAATCCACCCTTCCCCCGCCCTAGCCACTGTTGGCTGGGCTGCGGGCGCCGTCCGCCTTGCGGCGGCGGCGACACTTGCAACACGAGCACACCTCGCTTCGGTGTGCTCGACCCTTCACAACGGGCCGCCCGCAAGGACGCGTGTGCGGCCCTCTCTACTCGACCTGTGCCACGGCACGGGTCGTTCTAGTCATGCAGCCGCCCCGGCGATCGTGCTCGGGGCGTATCTCAGCACTCACCGCGCGAGACGCGTGGCGTGCCACAAACCAGTAAGCAGCAGCCTTCGCTGCTGCGACTCGAATGCTCCAAACGCGCACCTGTGCTTGCGCACGGCGTGCTCTACACGAGCCTCCCTACCGCACGAGCGTGCGGGCGGCTCGAATCCACCTTTCCCCCGCCCTCGCCACTGTTGGCTGGGCGGTGGGCGCCGTCCGCCTTGCGGCGGCGGCGACACTTGAAGCGGTCGCGGCGCGTATGCGTCGTACTGTTAGGGCGGCCGGGCCCGAAGCCGGCCCGGCCAGGCTCTTCATAAGGCCATCTTCGCCACAACGCGTGGCATTGGTCCAACTACGGCAACCCACAGCGAGGGGGGCCGCTTAGGCGACCTTGCTCACATCAGCTGCATATGCTTCAGTGGTGCAAGGAGGAGTGGAGAGGGACCTTTGACGGTGTCTGGCCCATGCGGGTTGGCACGTACCTAGTTGTGCGCATATGCGTACGCGACCGTTTTGGAGCGCGGGGCGGCGGCGTCGATAGATATCGACGCCGCCGTCGCCGCGCATCATGACGAGTTCGCATTCCCCATGTGACCCTCTATACCTCACCTTCGAGACAAGCCAGGGTTCAACCCAATGGACCTAGTGTGGCGTCGAGGCCCGCACTGTCTGGACATGCGGGCCGCGGCTGACAGAACGGCGGGCTAGGCATTGAGAGCCCAGGAGTTTTAATTCGGACAATGCTCTTTCCCACGCCCGCCACATGACGCCCACCGCCGCCGCGTCGGTCGGCGCGCGCCGACGCCGACCATCACCACCGACCGACGGCTCGCACGGCCGTGCGGTGAGCAAAAATTTGGGTCGCTGCGCGCCTGCCGGATGCTCTGCGACGTCTGGACGCTCGCCAGAAACGCCAGGAAGCTTGCCTTCCACCCCTGGGCCCGAGGGCGAACGGCAGTGGTCGGCAGCCTCTGCGACGCTCCGATCGGCTCCTCGACCTCATCGCCTGCGACGAGCCAGCATGGCTCGTCGCTCGACGGCAGCCTGCCCAGTATGCTCTTGGCATTCTGTACAGCCTCGCCAGGCTCTCTGAGACGGCCTGCAGGGCCGGCGCGGACCGCCTCGGGCGCGATGGCCCTCCTCAGTACCTACCTCTTCGATGCCTGTCGGCTCTCCAATCTCGTCGCCGGCGGCAGGCCCGCATGGCGCGCTGCTCGATGGCAGCCTGCTCAGTACGCCTTGGACAGTGACTTCTGCCTCGCTGCTCTTCCTGCAGCCGCCTCCGGGACCGGCGCCAGCCGCCTCGCCTCGCCAGTGCTGTCTACGCCTGCGACACGCGTGTCGGCTCGCCGCCCGCGTCGCCCGCGGCGGGCCCGCATGGCGCGCCGCTCGGCGGGAGCGTGCCCAGCAGGCTGTGCAGGGCAGCCTGCCTCACTCAGGGCGCCGCCGCCGCTGCGCGGGGCCGCCACCGGCGCTGCTGCCGTGAACACTGCCGCCGTGTACGTCACCATCGCCTCTCTTCGTCGCCGATCTCGCCGACGCCGCTCGCCGCTCGCCGCTCGCCGCCGCCCTGCCCTGCCCTGCCCAGCTCTCGCACAAACAAACCAACACACACACACACAACACACACACACATTTACACACACACACAACACACCCTGCCCTCACTCGAGCGCCCCGCGCCCTCCCGCCCCACGCCCTGCGCCTCAAGAGCGCAAACAGCTCGCCGATCTGCGTCACGACGGGCCGTATCGTGTTGGCCGTGCCTTCGAAGAACACCGTGATGGTGGTCGTGCCGTCGTGTGCGCCGGAGGTGGACATTAAATAATGTTATATTGTATGGCTGTGAACGTTCCTGCACAGCCTACCTAAGGATGGCTGAGCTAGCTACAGTGCAGCCATAGCCTCCAGCCCGATGGCTGCGATACACAGAGGGCAGCCATCCTGACTAGGGATGGCTGGAAGCTCGCTGCTGCAGCCATACCGCCCGCCCCGGGGCGGGCCCTCATGGGGCTGAGCTGGCTATATCGCAGCCATCTTGGGTAAGATGGCTGGGGCACAGCCATTGCAGCCATCTGCTATGGCTGGAGCACAGCGATTGCAGCCATCTTCCGGAGCATGGCTGGTATAAGACAGCAGCCATCCCGCCACCCCCGCCACGTGCGCAGATGGCTCCCGCACTCGTCGCCCCAGCCTCGCGAGAGGGGGGCTGCCCGGATAGCTGGTGAGATTGCGTAAATATTTCCATCAATCGATCAATTTCTTGGCGGCTCCCGTAGTGTACCTAGCCTGTGAAAGCTGGGGGTGGTAGGGAGGGTGTCGACAGCGCCTGACGTCGTCCACGCCGTAAGAGACGACTCTCTCTCTGCACGCCGACGAAAACGAGGATCAGTCTCTGTACGACCGTATGTCGGTCTCAAGCGCTCGCTCAGTCTCGGGAGCTTCGTCGGTGTCGGGCGCTGCCTCGACGGGGCGCGATCCGAAGAAGCCCGACCTCGCTCCGCTCGCCGTGCAGCTGAAGCTCGTCGGTCGCGCTGTGGTCGTCGAACCACCTGAGCACCTTGCAGGGCGACTCGAGATGCTCGAGGGGAATATTGTGCCCGGCGGCAAGATTCGCGTCACCGAGAAGTCGAACATTAAATCCGACGTCTCCGTGAGCGAGTTCGCAAGGCGCGGCGGGCAGTCCTCCAAGGCGTGGGACTTCGTGATGGTTAAGGACGTGCCGAACAAGGCGGCGCTGTTCCCTGGGGAGGCGGCGCGGCTCAACTTCTCGCTGCGCGAGCTGTGGGACAAGTTCCTCGAGCAGGGTGGCTCGCACCAGGCCGTCCTCAGAGAGGCTCTCAAGCAGCGCGCCATGCCTGACGGCCGCACCGGCGTGAAGGACGTGCGTGACCTCACCGAGTGGAACGTGACCACCTTGTCGCCGCCGCTGATGCACGGCAGCTTCACGGCCTACCGCGTACTCCGCCACGACGAGGTCATCCACGCGGGCCTCACCTTCGCACCCGGCGTTCGGGGCGGCGCCTACAAGGACAACTTCAACGCCCTTTTGTTCGTCGGCGCACTCAACGAGCACGTGGGCCAGGGCTCCCGCCCAGGGCGGACGCCCAAGGCGCTCATCTCAGCGACGACGTCGCTGGAGACGGCGATTTGGTGGAGTGGTCTCGGCGTGTTCAAGATCGCCTTCGTCGACTTGAACGAGGTCTTCAAACTCAACCTCCCGCAGTGGCACATCGGCTCTGCGCACGCGGAGCTACTCTACCCGATGCAGCGCCACTTCGCGAGCGCTTCGCAGGAGGTGGTCTTCTCGAAGCCGATCCCTCCGGCGGCGGTCAAGATGTACTCGATCAAGTGGGACGTCGTCAACGCCTACTTCGATTCGCAGTCCAAGCCGGGCGAGTTCCCTCCCGCGAAGGACCTCAAGCTCGAGAACGTCGAGTTCTTAGAGCAGCTCAAGGGCTCGACCGCGCCCCTCAAGGTGCGCGTCTCGTGGGGCAGGAAATACGCCAAGATCTTTGTGCTCAAACGCGGCGGCAAGATGGAGGCAGAGGGCGTGCAACCGGGGCTGCACACATCGAGCGAGTACCTCTCAAACATGATGTACCGCCAGATGGGCGTCCGCGTGCCGTGCATGGCCCTCTACACCGCCGTGGTCACAGGGGGACGCAACGAGATCATTGGCTCGTTCTACTTCACGCTGATCGAGTATTTGGACGGGATGCGCCACCCAAGCCCGACCGGCAAGGCCGACAAGGAGCGGTGCGCGGAGGCGCTCGGCGCCGGCTATATCGCCGATTTAGTGCTCGGCAACGAGGACGTGGTGGGCGACAAGATGGAGAACCTGCTCATGAGTGGGGAGGAGGTGGTGCGCGTCGATTGCGGCGGCTGCTTGCAGTTTGGGCCCACGGGGAAAAAAAAGGAGCACGGCTTCTCGGCGGCGGGCGTCGCTGCTGACCTCAACCGCTTCCTCCACATCAAAGGCAAGGAGTCGGCCAACCAGCTGCGCGTGGAACTGTACGAGCGCTTCACGGACGACTCCCCTGCGACGCAGGCGCTCGTGCAGGCGCAGGTCAAGGACATTTTGGAGACAAAGCGCTTTGAGAAGAACATGCAGCGCGAGATTACACAGCAGCGCGCCCCGCCTGACTGGATGGACCAGGTGCGGATCGTCGTCGCGCGCCTCAAAGCCGTGTCCAGCGGCACGGACTCCGCGCCCGTCATCAGCATTTTCAACACCATCCCGCCCGTCGCTGCCGCTTCCAGCGCTGCGGCCGCCTCGTCCTCGAACGGCGTCATGACCACGAGCGTGCCGGTCGTCGACATCCCGAGCTCGTGCTTCTACTCGAGTGGCCAACTCCGCGGCATCGCTAGGCCTTCTGTCATCAGTGTCGAGGAGCGCAAGAATTACTTCGACAAATCTGGCGCTCCAAAGATGCACAGCGACGGCTCAAGGACGCTCTTGAGCGCCATGGAGGGCTACCTGATCATCGACGTGACCTCGCACTCAACGACCGAGTACAAGCACCTCTCGCCCCTCTACCCGCACGGCAGTATCCGCGTCCCCTTCATGGACGGCATAAACGGCAACGACGTCGTCTACTCTCAGTCCGTGGAGGGCGTGTGGCAGGGCATGATGATGTTTCCGAAAAAGAAGGAGGGTGTCTGCCTCAAGAGCTTCGACGAAAAGAGCGGGAAGGCACGGGGGGTGTTGGCGCGTGGTGGTCCAAAGGCCAGGGCGAGCGGCATGTGCCATTACGGCGGCGTACGCTACCTCCCGGCATCTGACGACTCCGACTATCCCGGCTCTGACGACTTCGACTCTGATTACATGTCAAGTTTTGACTCTGGCGCTATTGATGTCACCGCGTCGGAGAAGGACCTCGGGCTCAAGGGCCTCCGCCTGGGCCTCGTCGAGGCGCGCAAGAAAATCTACCTTCCTACGTACGAGGCGGCCCTCAAGCAGCACTGCCTCAACATCATCTACGACCTGCGCCAGAAGCTGATTGACGGCAAGAAGATCATCCTGCTCGATATCCATACGTCCGACGATATTGACGACGACAAGACCCTCTCTTCAGCGCAGCTGCTGCTCAACTTCATTTTGACGGACACGGTCGCGCCCTCGTTAAAGCGGTGGCGTCGGCTACTGCGCCGTCGCAGAGCGAGGGAGGAGGAGGAGGAGGAGGAGGAGGAGGAGGAGGAGGAGGAGGAGGAGATGGAGTACCGGCTGGGGAAGCTCGGGCCGGAGGGGGAGACGGACGAGGAGGAGGAGGAGGGCGAGGAGGGAGGCAGTGAGGAGGGAGAGGAGGGGGAGGAGGGGGAGGAGGGGGAGGATGGCGAGGAGGAGGGGGAGGAGGAGGCGGAGGAGGCGGAGAGCGAGGAGGGCGAGGAGGGCGAGGAGGGCGAAGAGGGCGAGGAGGAGGAGCAGCAGCAGCAGGAGGAGGAGGAGGAGGAGAGAGAGAGAGAGAGAAGGAGAGAGTTCCGGCAAGTTCGTCCGCGCGTCTCCTAAATTGCTAAAAAATGACGTCTACATCGCCGCGATCACTTAAAAGGTTCCCCATGCCAGTTTCGGGGGGCAAACCCCGCCCGCCCCCTAGAGCCCCAGGTAAGGCCCAGGTGTGTGGCCTAGGGCATCAGAAGGGACCAAGAGGAGTGCAGTCTGAGCCATAGAGCCCATGTCTTTGCCCCCGAAGGTCGCAGGAGGTGGTGGAGAATGACCTCCAGACTGACCCGGAGAATCAATCACCTCCACCCAGCCCCACCTCAGCACATGCGGCTGTGCTGGGACCCTGGGAGCCAAGCAAGCCGCCTCAACGCATAACAACACACTTACACTTCCTTCCCTTCCTCCCGCGTCGTTCGCGCGCGCGGGGCCGGGGGGCCCACACACGACACCTCTGAGTGATGAGCCTCCTCTGTCCGCCTCATGTCGTCGGTCTCGCTCTCGGTCGTAAGGTGCCACCCCCGGACTCGCACGGCGCGCGCGGGCGGCCGAGTCGCTTTAAAATCAGCTTCGCGCCGCCTCAGCCCTCATGCGCAGGGAGGCAAGCGCATCAGCTCCTCGTGCCCACGGATGCATGAACATGAACACATGAGCCCATGTCAACAGGCGAATGCTCCCGCGCTCGTTGTAGACCGCGGCAATGGGCGAGATGGTGCCGTCCTCGTTGACTGCAAACGACTGAGCGACCACTTTGAACGTCCTCTCGGGATGCTCTGCTATGCTACGATTGATAATAAGGGTGTTATCCTCCTGAAGCCGCAAGTGAGCGGCATGGAGGACGCGCTCGTCGCACGTGCGCGTCAGGAAACCATTGCGCAGCTGAGCCTCCGTCGCCATCGCCGCCGGGCCGATGTGCATGGTGATGAGCGACCACTCGCCGTAACGACACGGCTTCTCCCAGGCTGGGACCACAGCCGTCCCGGGGTGCGAGGCGCGTGAGCAGCGCCGCCGCGCCGCCGGCGAGCACCCTTGCGTGCTCGAAGACGAGCGCACGCTCGGAGCCCTTGCACACAAGCACGAGCGGGGGGCCCTCCTCCGAGGCAGGCTGCGGCGCATAGCCCTCCTCGACAGAAGTGCTGGCCCAGACCTCTTCGAAGGCGCGCTTGCCCGGCCCGTCCTTCTCCCAGGCGGGGTTTCTACTGAGGACAGGCTCCAAGCTCGGCTGGTGTCGCAAAGCTTCGGCGAGGGCGGCGAAGCCGGCGTCGCCAATCGCGCAGTCCTCGAGACGAAGATGTTTGAGCTTTGGCAGCTTGTCTTCCTTGACGAGCTGGGCGAGCGCGATGGCAGCCTCGTCGCCTGCGACGAAGCGCCGCCGCGCTCGCTTCGCTCAGCTTCGAGTAGCACGCCCTGAAGCTTCCGCAGCGCAGCAGCAGGCGCACCATCGCCAGCGTCCCGATGCGCATCATCTGGTCCAAGTCGGGCGTGATCGCCGTCCCAAACTCATAGCACGCGTAGTACTCGCCCTTCTTCCGCGCGTCACCTCCATCCGGATGAGGGCCTCGAAGTCGCCCTCGGTCATCACGCCCGCCCCGCCGAGTCCCCGCAGCAGCTCATCCGCGGCGATGGACAGGTCGCCCATCGGAGTGATTCTGAGATCAGGTTGGGCGACTGGCAGACATTTCAAAAATTTGGCGCCGCAGGCGCCCGCTGCGTGCCCACCATGGTTGGGCGCGCAGCGAAGAAAATTTTGCGCTCTCGACAGCCTTTTCTAATAGGAAAATGGCCTCTACTCGGCGCCATACCGCTTGTCGGCGCACAGCGGAGTTCGCAAGCCGGACCTGCTGCCTTCCCTTCTACGTACACTTTCAGAATGGAGGCTCAAACGCAGCGCAGGGCTCAGACCAAGTGCAAGTCGATTTGTACCACAAAGTTGGTAGACAGTGCCAAAACCGCGGAACCGAAAATGGCGTTTAATTTCGCGCACCTGCTGTCCGCCGCCTGTGGCGGCGCTCCGCACCGCTTGAGGCGCCTGCGGCGCCCCTGGCGGCGCGCTGTCCGCGCGCCCCTCTGTGGTTTTCGTGGGAGGCTCGGCTCTCGTAAGTCTCGATTTGTACAGGATTTCGACGTTAGTGGCAAAACTGCGGAACCGAAAATGGCGTTTAATTTTGCGCACCTGCTGTCCGCCGCCTGCGGCGGCGCTCCGCGCCGCTTGGGGCGCCTGCGGCGACCCCCTGGCAGTGGCAGCAGTGGTGTGTACGGCTGCGGGTGCGCCCGGTACACAAAACCGGCGCTCTATGGCGTGCTCCGGGGGAGCACGACTACGCAGTCGTGGCTTCCACACGCGAGAGAGTGGCTTCTATATTTACGAAAACATTGGGCGTCCCTAGTGCCGCATCCATAAGAAGTGACGTCACGGTTCCAGGAGCGCCTGGCGGCACAGCTTAGAGTGGCAGCCGAGCGCCGGCCACGACTATCGAGTCGCCGTCGCGGAGCTGAGGGCTGGCCGACGGGTGGCGCGGTCTTCCTCCCAGCGCCGCCCATCGGTCAGCCCTCAGATCGATCGATCGGCGCTCAAAGTCGCTTCAGATCCGAGAAAGCTGCTGGCGCCGCTGCCGATCCCAGCCGCGACGCCAGCAGCTTCCTCTGCTCTCCAATGCGCCGAGAAGCGACGCGGCGGTGCTCGGCTCGCCATGCACGATGACGGCTCCGCTGGGTGCTCGTCGGCCGGTCCGGTGGCACCCTATTCGCGCGTCACCTGCCGGCGTCCCGACGACAGCCTCGCGCCGCCGCTGATGGAGGGGCGGTCGGCGCCACTGCCGCCGCGCCGCCGGTGGGAGAGGCACTGGTGGTGGCCTGGGCGGCCCTCCGCCGCCGCTCGGCGCGCCCGGGCAGCGGTGGCAGCCTGCGCCGCCCCATGCGGCCTGGGATTCGCTTTCTGAAATGTCTGCCTCCAAAGGGGAAACGACTATGGCCGAGGCTCGTCGCCAGCGTCGGATTCCGCCTCGGCACGCGCTGGGAACGCGCGCGCAAGCAGGCGCGCCTTCCCGTCAAGATGGGCGGCATGGGCCTCACCAGCGCCGTGGACATTCGTGAGCCGGCGTGGATTGGCACTTGGGCGCTCGTCGCCGGCTCATGCGCCAGCTGCATGCTCCTTTCCGCGACCTCGACGTGAGCAAGGCGCCGGGCTCCGATTTCGACGAGCTGCGGGCGGCGGATGACAGGCTCAAGAAGGAGCATGGCATGATCACGGCGACGTGGAAGGAGTGCGCAGGCCAAGGGCAGGGAGCGGGCGAAGCATGAGGCTTGGCGGGAGGCAGTCCGCTTCGTGGCGGTGAGCCAGGATGGCGCCGGCGCCTTCCTCAACGCCATCCCCATGCGGGATGACATGCGAATGGAGACTTGGGCGATGCGGATCTCGGTGCAGCGCCGCCTGGGTCTCCCCCTCGACGTGGCCTGCCAGGCCGCGGCGGCGGGCAAGAAGACTCGCTACCCAACGCGGCCAAAGGATTTCCACCTCGTGAGTGTGAGTGTCACACACACACACACACACACACTCGGATTTCCACCTCGAGAACCTTTACGTGCAAAATACCGTACATACATTCTTTTGACGCGGTCGCTGCTGCGTCGATTTCTTCAGCGAGACCACAGGATCGGAGGGCGGGCGAGGCGGAGGCCGTCGGCGCTGGCGGCGGTCGGGCGGGCGGGCGCGGAGGCTGGGCGAGGCGGCGGGCGAGACGGCGGTGCGGCGGGCGACGGGCGGCTGGCGTCGTGGGCGAGCGTGGGGTGGGGTGGCGATGTCGGGGTGGGGAGCGGGTGGGCGCCGGAGTGGGAGTGGTGGTGTGACTGCTCCTGTGGTGCGGGCGACGGCTTCTGAGGAAGCCGTCGCCCGCGCCTCGCCTGTCGCGTGAATCGTGTCGTGCGACCGCCGCTGGTTGTAAAATTCTTTTGGCGGCGGCAGCGGGCGGCAGTCCCGCGAGGCACGCCGGCGGAAGGGTTCGTCTTCGCGGGGCGGGGTGCGCACTGCGCGCCGCGAGGATGAGGAGCCTGAGCCAGGGGAGGGTTGGGAAGGGGGGGCGAGGCCGGAGGAGTATGACGGCCTCTTCGACGGCCCATAAGGGGCCGTTGTCTGCTGTGCCTTTTGTGGTGCTAGTTCGTGCCAGTCTGCTGTGAGAGGGGCGTGGCCTCCCAGAATTCTTTGACGACTTGACGAGGCCTCGCTGCAGCTCCGCCTGCTCGACAACTCTCCGAGGCAACCGAATGCTCGGCCTCCTCGCCAGCTCGCTGCTCACGCGGCATGGCTCCTCGGAGGCGCCGCCGCAGCGTGCGCCTCGCATCGGCCACCAGCTCGCTCCGGCGCCGCTGCTCGCCTCGCTGCGCGGCAGGAGCGCCGCCAGCGGCGGCACAGCCACCGCAGCAGTGAGGCTCCTGTCGTCACAAGAGCCGGCAACGTCGGAGCGGCAGCACCGCCGCCGTCCGTGGCGCCGCCGCGGCGCCGCTGCCGGAGCGCGCCAGCTCAGCGGGCTCGATGACGTTCCGTTCGGGCCGGGCCGCGTGATTACCGTCTCGGCAGACAGCCGGTCCATGGCTGGCGGGCCGGCGGCGCGGCGCGTGGTGGAGGTGTCGCGGCCGGGCCGCCGCGACGAGAGCCGCGCCCTGGCCACCCGCTCCGCCGCCGCCGCGGGCAAGAAGCGCGTGCTCATCCTCATCTCGGACACGGGTGGCGCCCTTCCGCTTCTTCTCGAGCAATCTCGGGCAATCTCGTGTGACCTCGTGTGATCTCGTCAGGTGGCGGGCACCGCGCGTCGGCAGAGGCGCTCGAGGCGGCGATGGAGCGGGAGGCGCCGGGCAGACTGGACGTGGCGATTGTGGACGTGTGGACGCAGTATGGCGCCTTCCCGTTCAACAAGTTTGTCCCGTCCTACCGCCTCGCCGCCAAGTACCCAAACGTGCTCTGGCGGTCGTGCTACTTTGCAACCTCCTTCCCGCCCCTGATGGCGGCGCTCAACCTGCAGCACCGGCTCACTTGCTCGCGCGGCTTCGCTCAGTGCATGCGCGCGCACGGCGCGCACCACGCACGGGACTGAGCCCACACTGGGTTCGATCCTCTGGGGGTATGGTGGACTAGGCGCGAGCACGACCCGCACCTCGTCGTCTCGATGCACCCGCTGACGCAGCACGTCCCCCTAGAATCTCCCCGTATCTCCCCGTATCTCCCCGTGTCTCGGGTCCGGTGCCGTGGGTGGTGCGGCGGAGTGTCGGTTCAGTGCCGTGGGTGGTGCGGTACAGGCACGTCCCCCTCTCCGTCCTCGCGCGATTCGACGAGAAGAGGAGACGCCAGGTGCCGTTCGCCACGGTTGTGACCGACCTCGGCTCCGCGCACCGCACGTGGTTCGACAAGCGCGTCGACGCGTGCTTCGTCCCCTCGGACGCCGTGCGCCAGCTAGCCGGCCGGTGCGGGCTGCGCTGCGGCGCACGCGGCGCACAGGTGCGGCAGTACGGGCTGCCGGTGCGCCCCGCCTTCTGGACGGCGGCGGCGGAGCGCAAGCACCGACTCTCTGCTGGCTCGACCGCCGCTGTGAGCAGCGTCTCTTCACACCGCTGGCTGTGAATAGGCAGCTCGCCGGCGAGCTACACCTCTCGACTGACCGCAAGACGGTCCTCATCGTGGGCGGCGGCGACGGCGTTGGCTCGCTCGAGGGCATCGTCAAGTCGCTCGGTGATCTCCCCAGATCTCCCCGCATCTCCCCGCATCTCCCCAGATCTCCCCAGATCTCCCCAGATCTCCCCATGCCTCCTCGCATCTCCCCAGATCTCCCCAGATCTCCCCAGATCTCCCCAGATCTCCCCATGCCCCGCCCTATCTCCCGGTATCTCCGGGTCTCTCCCGGTCTCTCCACCCGCCACTGACGTCCCCTGCTCTTCCTCGGTAGCGAGCGAGGCCGGCAAGAAGTGCCCCGGAGAGACGCAGCTCGTCGTCGTCTGCGGCTCTAGAAGCGAAACACGTATTATTCATGCCTCCCAACCAGCGCTCGAGAGGACACGTCTTCAGCCGCATTCACCCGTATTCGGCTGTATTCACTGTCTTCTTCTCCGTTGTACTCACGCGGTGCTCTCTCCACAATACCGTCCTCCCGCCCTGAGGCTGGCGGATTCAGCACGCAGGTCTGCGGCAAGAACGCGCGCCTGCAGCAGAAGCTGGAGCGGCAGCGGTGGGAGGGCGTCGACGTGTGCGCGCGCGGCTTCACCAGCCGCATGTCCGACTACATGGAGGTCGCAGACTGCATCGTCACCAAGGCCGGCCCCGGCACGGTCGCTGAGGCCGCGATCCGAGGCTTGCCCACCATGCTCTCCTCCTTCCTCCCCGGCCAAGAGGTGCAATCTCCCCATCTCTCCCCATATCTCCCCATATCTCCCCGGGCAAGAGGTGCAATCTCCCCATCTCTCCCCATCTCTCCCCATCTCTCCCCAGATCTCCCCAGATCTCCCCACATCTTGCTTGTGCGCCCAGCCGGCGGTACTCGAGGTCATCTCTCCCCGTATCTCCCCGTATCTCCCCGTATCTCCCCATATCTCCCAGGCGGGCAACGTGCCGTTCGTCGTCGAGTCGGGCTTCGGCGAGTACTCGTCCAACCCTCGCAAGATCGCGCTCACCGTCACAGGCTGGCTGCAGGACGCGACCAAGCTCGAGGCGATGAGCGAGGCGGCGGCGCGCGCGGGCCAGCCTCACTCGAGCGGCACGATCGCGATCGCAAGCGACTTGTGCGAGATGGCCGAGGCCGCCACACTCTCCCTCACGGAGCACACATCTCCCCGTCTCTCCCCATATCTCCCCATGTCTCCCCATATCTCCCGCAGGCCGCCACACTCTCCCTCACGGAGCACGAGCTGGCGTCTTCAGCGCCAAAGGAGTGACTTCCGCGACTTGGCCGCCGCCGCCGCCGCCGCCATCCGCCGCCAGCGGTGTTGCCGCAGCCATTGCCGCTGTCGCCGCTGTCGCCGCTGTCGCCGCTGTCGCCGCCGCCACGCCGAGGCTCGTCTCGTGTGGAGCAACGGTCGGGGTCGCGAGGGCGCGTGCTTGTGCTCCTCTTGCTGCGCTCCTTGACTCCTCTGGCGTGCGCCTCTCGAGGTCTCGAGGCGCGGGCGCGCGGACGGGGGGGGGGGGGTTGGGGGAGATCCGG